AGAAGCTAGCTCAGTTTTATTTATTTTTTATTACAACCTTTAGTCACCCTGTTTGTAACTTTAGACCCAAGTGATATGTAAGGGTTGTAAACTTGTTGCCTTAAAGTTGGTAAAGGAAGCTAATGTTAGCTCAGTTAGCGCGGTATTCTCAGTACTGACATGGCAGAGGTAAAGAGACCGAAGAAGATGTCGACGAAATAACCATTGATGTAAAAATCCAGTCCTCACATACCATTAGCAATACATGAATCATACTTTGTGATTAAGCAAACTAATGCAGGTTGCAAACTGTTTATACTGTCCTGAGGTTAGCTGATCTGTCTCAAGGCTACAGGGAAAGCAATGACAATCTAACAGCTTCGTATACGTCCCTGCCAGTGTTATTCACAAAAGATTGTGACATGAGCTGTAACCTTACTAGTGTCATTCCTGTCTCACAGAGTTTTATAGCCTATCCAGATGCCAAAAGTCACATTCAAACACTTAGCGATAAAACACCCAGGTCTCACTCCCAACTTGTCAAATACTGATGCCTAGTCAGTGGCCCTCGGCGTCAGATACTGACGCGCCGAGCCACCCAAGTGTGAGACTGGGCATTTTTTTGACATTTTGAACAACTGCCTTAAGTGTGCACTGGCTGGGTAGGACTTTCACCCAGGAGACCGCTGATAGGTCTCGTGTGAGACCAAAAGACAATTTGGTTATTTTAAAAACATAGTGTGCTGTAATGTGTAGCATACTATGCCAGTGACGTATATCACATGTCGTTACATTACGTCAGTAACAAACATACTTATTTAAAGCCAAACCATGATGTCTTTTGTCTTACCTTACCCTGTGCTTTTTTTGCCTTAACCTAGGAAATAAACCTATAAACAAAGTTTTTTAGCTATATGTGCTAAATTCATTTTAAAAATAAACTGTAAACACAATGCATGTATCAAGTGCAAATCAACACATCGTCCCTGAGCATCCAAAACTGACACTAAAGGGGTATCTAGAGCGTCATGGTCTGACATGTAGGGCCACTGAGCAAGTGTTGATATTTGACGAGCTGAAAATGAGAATGTGTTTGGGCTAAAAATGGTAACAGCATTTCTACGCACCTAAAACCTTTTGTTGTTCTTTTTTGTTATTCTTTTTGTTTGTTAGTATTTATCACATCTCCAATGTCACAATAAATAAATCCTGTGTAATCCTGTGTAATATCACTGTGCCCTGTCAGTCAAGGTGGTTCTTTGGCTTCTAGATTTGCTGGTGTAACACCAGAATCTGTGATCCATTTCATTCAGCGAGACAGCGATGACATCATGCTGTTATAGCCTACATTGAAATCTTTCATAAGTAACGTTGGCAGATATGTACACTCTGCTGTCAGACTGTCATTGTTTTACCATTAGCTGTGAGACGGATCAGTACAGCTTATTGTATGTCAGAACAGTAAATAGTCTGAAAAAAGAAAAGTGAAAGGTGAAATAAAAACAATCTGGCATAGTGTAGCTTTAAGACTTTTGCTGTAGACAATGATGGTGTGAGAGATATATAAGCTGCTTCTCTATTGTTAGATCTTCTGTGTTAGTTGGACTTGCATATGCAGCACTCAGGTCCTGGTGTTGAATACAACCACATAGACACAATGATAAAATGGCACTCATTTATTCTGAGGCTTTAGAGGAGTGAGGAGGGCTTCTCCTCGGGGCTCAGTGAGTCAGACAGATCTAATAAACCTGGTGAATTCACACTCCAATTGTGGCTTAAGCCTTAAGCTGTGCTAGTCGTTTTCTGTCTTGGAGCCCACAGGTTCTCTGTGTGAGGTAGACACCATCCTCAAGGGCTGAAGGAGGTAAAATATCACTTTTTCCTCCAGCTTCAATTTCTTGAACATGCATCTCTTAACATTAATGAGACAGCAATTTCACATGTCAGTCTCAGTGTTACTGACCTGAGTTACTCTGAAAGTCATATGTGGTCAGTTCTGTGTCTTCCAACAAACCACAAGTATGAACTGATTGAATTAACGTAAAGGCTGCAGCAATACGAGGTGAACACAGAAAATTAAAGGACTGTTGAGGAGAAGTAGGTACACTTGACAGCAACTTGAAAGTGTTCCTTGCACTCACATCGCTCATTAATTAAAGCTTCTACAGCAAGTATATTTTAACATCCATCAGTCATGCACCTAGAAAAACCAGACAACACTCCTCTTCCTTCCTTCAACTCACGCCTGTTTCCAGCAGAGATTACTGTTAACGTGTTGTCATGACTGAATAAAGAACATTTAAATAAAAGACACAAAAAGCCATCACATTAACAGCTTGATGAAGTTACGCTATGTAATTTCTGCCTGAAAAAGGTCTAAAGAGATGCTGCTTCTTTGTTTGCCGAGTCACCAGATTGTTCCTGCTTTGACCTCTTAAAAGGCAATTTTGCCTGAAATTATGCTGTGGGTTGTACTGATTAACTTCCTACCCGCAGTGACTGTGTGTGTGTGTGTGTGTGTGTGTGTGTGTGCCTGAATTGTATACAGATGACAGCATAATTTTGCTATTAGTGTGCGAATGCATTATAATTTCCATTTCTTTCAATTATAATTATTCAGTTATATTAAATAATAGCTGAATATTTTGCTTCCATATCACATATGTATGCATATAGACTTTTTTTTACGATTCTTGATGAAACATTTAACAATCAAATGCAGAATAAAGATGCATCACTTTACATAGTAAGTGGTTTAGAAATGGAGGAGCGTGATGTTGTTTTGCTCCTCTGAATTGAACAGAACAAATCATGTTGGATGATAATCACACTCACACTGTCATAAACACAGTGGGGGATTTTTTTTTTCAGGAAAAAGAAAAAACAAAAAACAAAAATGTGTTTTCTCCCACAAGCTGAACTGACTGTAAATAAAATCATTCTATAATTCTCAGAACAAGATACAGCAGTCTGCAGTCCTCATCTGTTAATGAATGGTAACAAATTCATTTCAACAAAGCAAAGGAAAACATTGATTCTTATTAGGTTAAAACTGGGTGTTACAATAATACAGATTTTGTCCATATTATCCACCTCAAGTAAAGCCTGTAATAATAGGGCGACTTAAAGTACACACACATGCACACACACACACATCAGGTCACATTGTCAATTGATTAATGTTTGACAGTGAGGGGAATTTTTCTCATTTACAAATGTGTCAATCTCGATACAGTGTGTTTTTGTAGTTTTTAAGGGGGAAAGGCTACAAACCTTATGATGCCAAACCCCTTAAAATACATACAGGTATTGATTAAGGGAAACTAAAGTTAAAATTAGCTCTTGAGACCACCTAAATCAACACTCGAGGCTAATGGGCTATGATGTTCAAGTAAAAAAAACAAAAGCAAAAGAAAGCACAAAACTACCACAGAGACAAGCAAAATGACATGATATGAAGGCGAGGAGACAACGGAAAAAAAGATCAGGACAATAGAGACTTTCTATTAAAACTACCTTAGCGCCAGTACATTAGACTATATAAAATAACGGACATAGCTAATGTGACGTCACCCACATTCACGTTTTGAAGCCTCAAGTTCGACATTTCGACTGTCGCCATCTTGGTTTTTTGGAGCCAGATGTGACCATATTTGGATGAGAAGGTGGAGCTGTGGAGGAGCGAGGGGTGGATCTGACTCATAGACTGTGGTGTGCCTCGAAAAAAACAGCCTGTCACTCAAAGCAGCTCAAACCTTAATTACACATAATTTTAAGCCTTAATAAAACATAAACTGGTGAGTTATATAAAAATGAACTTAATTTTTGAACCAGACTGTAAATATGTTCATTTCTTCTAAAGTTGGGCATTTTAACATTGCGGTCTATGGGGATTGATGGGGATTCTAGAGCCAGCCTCTAGTGGCCATTTGAGGAACTGTGGTTTTTGGCACTTCCACGTTTGGTCAGAACTCAAGGCTAATGGGCTATAGTGTTCTCGAAAAGAGAGGCACAAACATACTGTGAGGAGATGAAAAATTATGAAATGCCCCTGCTAAGAGATGAGGACAAAAACAAACATGAATCAACTACAAATAGATGCAAGATGTCCCAAAAGAAACACCATACAACTAGAAAGAGAATCAAAATGACAAGAAAGAGACACAAAACATAGCACTCCTGAAATGCAGATTGCCAAAAAATATTACAAACTGACTACAAAGAGACCACAGAGACAAACAAATTACTAGACCCCTAACGACCATAAAGAGACGGAAAACAACCACAAAGAGACACAAAATGACCCCGGTGAGACACAAGAGACTCAAATTGATCACAAGGAGACACAAAAGAATTACAAAGAGACTGAAAACAACCACAAAAGGACAAAATGACCTTATAGAGAAACAAAATTGCGATAAGAAAGATACACAAAGAGACACAAGAGACTCAAAATGACCACAGAGATGCAAAACAACAAAAATAAATAAATAAATACAAATAAAAGAGGGCCTCGTTTGTAGTCTTTTTGTGTCTCTTTTACTCTGGATTTCTTGCTCCATGTGTGAAGGTTGAGAGGCTTCTACATATCTCTGTGCAGGGGCCATTGTCTCCATATCTGTCCATGGCTGGCTACTTGGACTTAATAGAATATTTAAAGTTGTTTATATGTCATAAGTTTATTATGCTGAATATATAATATTGGATAATTAATGTACAGTTTGTTCTTGCCAAGAATCTGAGCTTTAAATTTGAGTTACTCTTTTTATGTGTCTTGAAAGGGCAAAGTTTCTAAACGCGCTTCTGGGAGTGATTAAGAGCATTTAAAGGATTTCATGTTTCTATTCTTGGTTTCAGTGTTACTAAAAAGCATCTTCACACTGTCGATGCTGAAGTGAGGAGGGAGACACGGAGCTTCACAGTGACACCAGTCTACAACAGACACCCACTGCTGTCTCACAGTCATCCGCGGAGGAAACATCCAATAATATTACTAAATGTAGCCCACTCTTTGAACTTACCTTGTTGCGGAGACTTTTCAATATGTGATCTTCCCACAGCTCGGTCTCCTCCTTTGATTTAGAATTTACTGATGAAACAACGGGAGGCGAGCAGCTGCAGCTGGTTTATTCCCTGTCAGGATGTGTTTTATCTTCATCCTCAGCCGTCAAACTGTCCGCTCCGGTTCTCCGGTGGCTTTGTCGGTGAGTTTTCTCCTCTCCGTCTGTTCTCGGACCGACTGATGCACCGAGAGTCACCGCAACATTATAACAGTCGCTCCGTCTCTTGCTTGTAACTAGGTAACAGCTCTGCAGGCTGCACGGCCATGGAGTCAAGGAGGAGGTGTTAAAATGCTGTGTGCGTGTGTGTGTGTGTGTGTGTGTGTGTGTCTGTGTGTGTGTGCGCGCGCTCTCGTATGAGGAGTTCCACTTAGAACATGTAAGTTACTGTAACGAGAAACTGCGTTTTAAAAGGCAATTGTCACATTTGTGAAGTAAACATTGTATTTTATAAGTTTATTTTGTGTTTTTTAAGTAAAATCTTAAAGTTAAAGAAAAAAAATAGCGCTTAGATAAACTGAATATGCAATTGCAACTGAATAAAACAATTGTATAAAAACAAAACACTACAAGCACTGCAATACAGTAGGCTTATTTGGTTTAGAGTAAATAAACTACAAATATTCAAGAAGAGTACACCTACAAGCACCTGAAATTGTACAAGCGCTTCTTCCATTTCATAAATAAATTGCCCCCAGCACCTTTTTGAATAGCTTGAATGCGTGTTTGTTGGTTTTAAGCAATATCTTGACACTAATATTAGCTGGTCACCAAGGTAACACTACGTCAACAGAGGGCTGAATACTGAATTAACAACAAGCTTATATGAGTAAAGTGATAAAAGCAAAACCCTCAACACTTTGTGTCCGGCCAATCCGCTCCCACAAATGGACTTCTCTGTCTTTTTTTGTGACAGTAGTCAGAAGTGACGTCACTAGAACCTTTCTGAACAGTTCAGAGATTTTCAATGTAGAAGTGTTTGGAGCAGCAGCACAAAAAATCCAGAACACCCTTAGAAAGGCTGCTGGGCATGGTGCTTTTCTCTAGGTGGCCGCATATGCTTTCTCCTCATTGGGAACAATTGAAAAAGATGCTTGCATCCAGATGAAAAAACCCATGTGGACACAGGCCCTGAAAAGCACAATATAAATACCACACATTTGGCTTACCTGATTTTGATTTAGATTAAGATAGATTTTGAAACCATTTATGGTCTGCAGCACTTGCGGATGTAAAAAAAAAAAAAGAAAAACACAGACAGACACAAAATGATCAAAAAGAGATGCAACACAATGTCAAAATGACCACAAAGAGACATTAAAAAGACTACAAAGAGACAGAAAAGGACCAAAAGTGACATAGGATGACCAAAAAAAAAGATGCAAAACAGCCAGAGACAAAAAACTACAAAAAGACAGAAAATGGCCACAAGGAGACACAAAATGACTACAAGAGATAAGAAAGACCACAAAGAGACAATAAACAACCATAAAGAGACATAAATGACAACAAAGAGACAAAAAAACTCCAAAGAGACAGAAAACGACCACAAAGAGACTCAAAATGACCACAAAGATACAAAAAATACAAAAAGACAGAAAATGACCACAAGGAGACACAAAATGACTACAAAGAGACACAAATTGAACACAAGAGACAAAAAACTACAAAGAGATAGAAAACAACCACAAAGAGACACATAGGGCTCTAGTTTCCTGGTGCTGCGCAGGGGGGCGCAGCGTGGCGAACCCCGTGCAGACCTAGTTTCGAGCAGCGCAACCCGAGGCGCGCTCAGTTTGGTAGTTTGGCAGACCAAGGTGCGCTGAGATGGGTGTGGCGGCGCAGCAGGGGGAGGTGTCGACAGATCCAGCTTGACGCAGTGACAGTTTCGTGCCAAAAGGCTTTGCCGAAGGTGTGCTAAAAGCTCGCCAGTTGAAACCAGGTCTACTGTCAGCGCAGGGGGAGCGCAGCCGGTGTAAGCCGAAGTTTGGCTGACCGGCGGACAGTGCGCACACGTCACCAAAACCTCACAGGCAGGTTTCCAGAACATCAGGCACATTAACGATGCAATAAATAGCCACAAAAACCACTATTCAATGCAACTATCTGCAATCAGCACATAAATGTATTTCTATATCGACTGTCCCGTCACATCTGATGTCAGATAAAAGGGGATTGGCACCGCTTGGCACGTGTGGCACCTGTAATGGAAACCCAACACACAGCAGCAAACTAATGAGTTCACATCCCTCTCAGCCAACCACAAACAGCCACAGCATCAGATAGGGAGTATATATTCAGCATCTGTCATCTTAGAAAAGTCAAAAGAAAGGAAACAGAGTGAGACTGCGAGAGAGAAAGAGAGAGAGCGCACGCGCACGAGAAACGCAACATTGATTTACAATTGTGGTGACCTCCTCCCAGGCTACCTTTGCATCATCAGCCTGTGGAGGTCTGCTCGCAGTTCTGTATATTCGGACACTGTGAGCTTGGACCTCCCGGACCAAAACATCAGTTTCTTCCTGGGAGAAGTTTGGTTGTCTGACGCTGCTGCTCTCTTCTGCCATGGCGAATTGAGTAAACTCTCATTACGCCTTCGCGCGGCGCATTTAAGGGCGAGGAGATGGGCTCATTTGATTGGTGTGATGTGTGTAAAACCCACTCCACGCCTTCTCTCCTCCCTCTTTCCAACTTGTGCAAGTAGGAGAGACGGAGGTGGGACAGACGAGTAGCTGCGCCAGGCGCACGGTGTGCCAAACTTGCAAAATCTGCCTGGCCACACCCAGTTATCGAAGCGCAGGTGCGCTACGCCCCCGCCTTGCCTGGTCTGCGAAACTAGAGCCCATTATGAAAATAAAGACATAAAAAATACAAAAAGACAGAAAAAGACCACAAGGAGACACAAAATGACAACAAAGAGACAAAAAACTACAAAGACACAGAAAACGACCACAAGGAGACACAAAATGATGACAAAGAGACAGAAGACGACCACAAGGAGGCACCAAGTGACTACAAAGAGACAGAAAATGGCCACAAGGAGACACAAAATGACCACAAGAGATAAAAAATGACAATAAAGATACAAAAAATACAAAAAGACAGAAAA